TTCTGCATCTGCATGTGAAGTCTTGCAGCTTGGCAGAAAGCACTGCCTGCAGCTACAGCAGCAAAACACATCAGTCTTTAGATCAATGCCAATAATGACACAGAGGCAGAGTGAATGCTTAAAATCGATTAAATACAAATCAAAGCACAATGATGACAATAAAAGTGTAATGCAGTTAGATCACTTAAAGCTTTTAACTGAATATGTTGCAACAGCCCAACCGCATAACTAAATATTAAGCATTAAATGAAGTATTCTAGCGTTTTACATATAAACATGAATTGACTTATGCATACCACTCCAGTTTTTGGCCATCTTGAACATGTTGGCAGCTCTGGCATACATTTCACATGCATCCTCAACCTTATGATTACCCCTGTGAAAACATAATTTCTTTCATTAGGTGGTTTAAAGCAGTTTCGTTTGACAGCACTAGTTATAACACAACGATACTACAAACATACATTCTACGAATGTTTTCTTTTTACTTTTGTTAGAATTTTAATCATTTTGTTATGTATTTCAGTCATTTTATTAGTGTTTTTTAATCTGTAAAAAATTTATTATTTCAAATCAATCATCTAAATCTGTCTACATAGTATTTATTAATTTGTATTTCAGTTAGTTATTTTAGTACTTCAACACTGTAAAAAATGACTTTTCAAAGCTGTAAATAAAGAAAAGTTTATTGGAAATTTTTGTTTTTTTACATAAAATACTGTTTTTCTGCTTTATGTTTAAAATGTTTCATGTTTTCCTTGCTGTTTTGTAATTGTTTGTGAAATTTCCCAGCAAAAAAAAAAAAGTTAGATCACTTAAAGCTTTTAACTGAATATGTTGCAACAGCCCAACCGCATAACTAAATATTAAGCATTAAATGAAGTATTCTAGCGTTTTACATATAAACATGAATTGACTTATGCATACCACTCCAGTTTTTGGCCATCTTGAACATGTTGGCAGCTCTGGCATACATTTCACATGCATCCTCAACCTTATGATTTCCCCTGTGAAAACATCAACATTTCTGATTGAATGCAATTTCAAAATCAATATAGTGCAATAATAAGCCCCTGTGCATAAAGCACAGAGCAGTTGCATTGCATTGTGCATGTCGCATCACGGAAATATTTGACATTGGAGATACTGAGAAACGCATGGATGGATTCGGGCTCTATATACTCATTTTTATACGTCGTATGGTAAAGAATAGACAAATAATAGGATATTTACACGACACACACATATGCTATTTGAAAAGACTACAGGACATTGGATGTCTTTGAATGTCAGATCGTGACCAGCATCACTACTGTCTCACCCGAACATCCCTCCGAGAAATGAACCTGATGATTTGACTTTTTTGTCCGCCTCTGCCATCAGCTGCATGGCTTCCTTCTCTTTCCCGGAATTATCCATGATTGAGTGTGTGGTGTTCACGCAGAGCTGCGGCTGGATCCGTGAAGGCCCGGGGTTTGTTGATATAGAGTGCGGCTTTAATGCAGAATCATGAAGGATGCTCTCCTCCTCCTCCTCCTCCTCCTCCTGCTGCTGCTGATGATGCGCGTTCTTCAGGAAGAAACTGCGACACTATTTGGTTGAAAGCGTAGCCACGCCCTCTTATTATCATACACGCAGCAAGAAACGCACGAAAATTAATACATACAGAAATATTTAAATTACGAAAATGTATATAGGCTATAATAGACATGAATATAATATTTAAATTATATATTATATAAATTAACAAATGAAAAAATAGTATAAAAAATAAACAAATGGGTAAAAACACGTATACATACATTTGGAAAGCAATGTATTATTATAACATGAATTTTCTCAAATTAAATGGCGTTTAAATGTAGCTTAGTAAAGTAAGCTAAACAAACAAACAGAAAAATATAATAATAATCTTTACTCGATGTTCTCGGCTCTGCGCATGTACGGAAGTGGCGTCATATTAGCGCCAAACTTGAAGCCTCGCCAGACGTCACTGACTGAGGAGGTAAACAAACGGTGGCTGTGGTAAGTACTTCTGTTAGTAAGATCGGTTAAAATATATTTCTTTAGTAAAATATGTGTTAATTTCTCTCAGTTCCTGTTGTTTTTTTCGTGTTAATTCTTCTAACGTTAATTCGAGCCGTTGTAAAGTAAGAAACAGCAGGTAAATAGTCCAGACAGAGATATTCTGTATCTGCTTCATTAATTTTACTCATTCTAGCTGATATAGATTTATTTTACTCTTTTAATTGTTATATTATTAGACTATTACAAATAATATAATTCATGTTCGGTTATTATAATAAACCCTGGTTGCATAAACATAGCCACTATGTTAAGACTGTGTGTGACCAGCTAGCAGTTATCTTGCTTTTCTGATTAAGATTAGACTAGTCTACCTTTTTCTAACTGGCTTTAAAAAGTTTTGGCAAGTCTTGAAGAAAGTAAATAAGATGATTAACTTTTAAGACTAGTGTAAGTCGATTATGTAACCGGTTCCTGCTGATGAGAGAGTTTCTGTAAAGAAACAGAGGGTCTTTATTGATTTTGCTGTTATTTATCTCTATCAGGACGATCTTGATTCTGTGCCATATTGATAGCTATGTGAGTTTGCTTTCAGACTTCAGAGGGTGAAGGATGAGCAGTCAGGGTTCTGCCCGAGGGTCATGGAGGGGTGGAAACACCTCAGCTGGAGGAAGAGGAAGAGGATGGAATAATGGTCAGTACAGAGGATGGAGAGGCCGTCAATGGAGCAGAGGAGGAGGAGGAGGAGGGAACTATTCCACCAACAATACACAACATGGTAACTGTCTTGTCAGTTAGGTAATAGCTTGTTTATAGGCAAAATAATAATAATAAATTATGTAGTTTACATTTACATTTATGCATTTAGCAGATGCATTTATTCAAAGCTACTTGCAATTATTAACAGAGCCTGCAATATTCATAGTACCCAATGCCAGATTTTCTAGGAAACAAGTTATATACAGTATAAGTGTGTATGTGCTCTGTGTGTATGTGCTGTACATGTGGAAGAATTGACAATAAAGCAGACTTGACTTGATAAGTAAATATATAAATCATTTTGTATTTAAGAAATGATAATCTATTAGTGATTTTTGTTTGTTACACTGACATTTGCCACCAGGGTTTCTGTGAGTCTTAAAAAAAGACTTATTTTGCACTTCCACAAATTAAAGGGTTAGTTCGTCCAAAAATTAAAATTAGGCTGCGTTTTACTCACCCCCGAGGCATCCTAGGTGTATATGACTTTCTTCTTTCAGACAAATCCAGTCGGAGTTATATTAAAAATTGTCTTTGATCTTTCAAGCTCTATCATTGCAGTCAGCCGCTGTTGCATTGCTTCAGTCCAAAAGAAGTTAAATAAAAAGCGCCCATCCATAAAAAAAGTGTATCACACGCCGGAACTGCTTCCGTTTACAACAGTAAGCGCAAGCTAGATTAAAGTGATTATTATGGATATTTTTCTTACAATAACGCATCGATTCGCTACAGGAGGTCTTTGTTCACCCCCCGAAACCATGTGAGACACTTTTTTTTATAGATGGGCGTTATTTAAGTTTTATTTAACTTCTTTTGGACTGAAGCAATGCAACACCCGCTGACTGCAATGATAGAGCTTGGAATAGCCAGGACAATTTTTTATATAACTCCGACTGGATTCGGCTGAAAGAAGAAAGTCATATACACCTAGGATACCTCGGGGGTGAGTTAAACGCAGCCTAATTTTCATTTTTGGGTGAACTAAACCTTTAAGGCCTTGAAAGTCTTAAATTAGAGCAGAAAGTCTTAAATTCAAAAAGACATGGAATTAAATGTTGCATGCTTTGCAAAAAATAAAAGCTTCTTGAGTATTTATGTTTTCAAATTAAAATATTTAAACCAATATCTTCAAACAAGATACATTTACTATTGCAAATGTAAAATGAAGTCTTGAAAAACTGAACCAAATTATTTGTTTCAACCTAAAACAAAAACGGAATGAAAATTGGTTTTCCCTTGAATTAAGTTGATTTTTGTAATTGGCAAATATTGCTTCTTGATTTAATAATGAAATCACTTTATTTTGATCTATCTATCTATCTAGTCAAATGAATGGAGATCTATTGGAAGCTGTATTTTTAAACTTTGAAGTGTTGCTAATACAAGACATTTATTTTCAGAGACCATATTGATCTGTTGTTCCATTCAATTTATTTATTTATATATATTTTTTTACTTTGTCTTAAAAAAGGTCTTTAAAAAGTCTTAAATTTACCTTCATAAAACCGGTGTACTGATGAAACATGCTACCTATCAGATTGTGCTACCAAAAATATATTTGCATTGTTTTAAGTGTAAGTTTAGGGTAAGGGTAGGCATGGGTTGGTAGGTTTAGGGTAGGGGTAGTTATGGACATTTAAATAAGCCTCAAACTACATGAATAAGATGATGGTAGCACAATCTGATCGGGTAGCACAAATCGTCAGAACACCGGCAGAAAACCTGTCCCACTTGATAAACTATTGTTTGATTATTTTTCGATTATTTATATGCTTTATAGTTTTTGTTGTTGTTGTTGCACAGGATTTACTCCCCAAGTTGTGGCAAGTGAAGCACGTGTGAGTCATGCAACCCTGGATGGATGGCGACTCTATTTTTCTGAAGGTTTGATATTTTCACATTTCCTATTATGTTTATTTAAACATTTGTTATTGACCTGTTAAATACATGTCTAAAAATATTCTTGTGATTTGTGTTTGTTCCTTCTCCAGGATTTGTCAAAAGTTCACCTTATGTTGAGAAGATTAAAGTGTTTGAGCAGTACTTCACATCGCAGATTGATCTTTATGATAAGGCATCAGAATTCATAGCATGGTTTTCCCTAATTCCCTCATTTTAATTCTTCATTTAAAAACAAAATATTCTTCTCTGATTTTTTTTTCATCTCTCAGGATGAGATTGAAAGGAAAGGCAGCATTTTGGTGGACTACAAAGACCTTTTGTCTAACAAACTGATTTCACACACTCTACCTGATCTTGCCAAAGATCTTAAAGAAATGGCTGAGAAGATACTGGACTGCTTGGGTGTCGCAATTCATCAGGTGGGTTTTGTGTTATGCATTTACATAAATATGTGTTTGTCACTGACTGCTTTTAGTCTTGTCAAATTCTCTTAATAGCTAAAATTTGATTATTTTTTTCTCCACAGGTGCTTACTGTGGATCTGGAGAGACATGCAGCAGAACTGCAGGGACAGGAAGAGCTTCTGCGGGTCTACGGCCCATCATCAACATCCCTTATATCAGCGCCAGGTGAGACTGTTAACTTGCCTATATGAAAGTCATGTCTAATTTATTTATATACGCTTTTCACAATACACATCGTTTCAAATCAGCTTTACAGAAATTCACGATGTTAATATTTATATTATATAATTATTAATATTTATATTCATGCTTTAAAGTTGCATTTAGCAGATTAGATGGGCGATAATATTGTTTACATTCTGCAAAAATAAAAGCAAATTGAGTAGTTGAGATTTTCTATATAGCCCTACGTCAGTAAACTTTATGCATGCGGATGAAGTTGGACATACTTATGTATTAAATTTTTTATAAAGAGTTGGGTGATTAATATAGTAACATTTTGCAAAAAAAAAAATCTACTCTAAAAATGTTTTAATTTACTTTTTTGTTTATTTCTCTCTTTTAGGGTGTATAACTACGAGCCACTGACTCCTTTGAAAAGTCTTAGAGCTAATTTATACGGCAAGTTTGTTGCGATCAGAGGCACCGTGGTGAGAGTGAGTAACATTAAGCCGCTCTGCAGTAAGCTGGCGTTCGTCTGTAACAGCTGTGGAGACACAGAGCGTCTCACTGCCTGATGGGAAATACACCATACCCACTAAGGTACAGCATGCTTCCAGCTTCAGACAAACATTAATTGCTTATTACTTGTTTACTAAATGACGTTAGTCAAGTTTTGTGCAGTTTCACCCATGCATAATAATACAGTGGAAAAAAAATACGTTTCACTGGGTCTACCGAGCAAATTACATATAGAACAAAGGATAATCTGTAAACAATGCACATAAAATTAGATTGATTGCAAATACAGTAGTAACTGTAACAAAGGTTTGCTGTATTAAGTGATGTCTGACATTGTTTATTTTTTCCCTTTCAGTGTTTACAGACGGAATGTCATGGTCGCTCGTTCACTCCAAACAGAAGTTCACCTTTAACACTCACTGTTGACTGGCAGACAATAAAGTATGTAAATACATAACTACATGAATTAAAATTTACCTGAGCAGAACAAATTTTGTGTTCCTTTTTTAAACAGATGTTTTTAATTTCTTTTTTTTTTTTTTAGCTTTCAGTGTAAATGCTTGTTGAATATTCTCATCGTCAAATATATTCAGCTATCTTTTCTTGAGCATTAATTTTTTTAAATTAATTTATATTATTCTGGTGCGTGTTTGCCAGTGTTGATTTAGTATTATTTATATACTATGATATTATGTATTAATATTTTGGATGAGTTAGTAATATTTTAGTTTTTTGACATTATTATTTTTTAA